CTAATCTCTTGTAACATTTAATGAAAATCCTTTGATGCATGAACCTTAATTTGACAATGCCCGATTAATGAACATATCTCTATTTCACCCACAAACCCTCCATCCAACAATTACATTTCAAGTCAAACGCAAATTTATCTAAGTTTTATATGAAAATCAGTTTTCTGAAGTCAAATTAAGATAGACAGAACAATGTAAGGGGTAGCTAAGTACTAAGAAGCATTAAGCTCAAGATAAATTCTCACATAAATATAATTAAATACTGAAAGAGAGAGATAAATAAGTCTCAATCGATAAAAAGGTTTGAAATAATCTTAGAATAAATAGTTTAGCTACTCATAATCTAAAAAGAATAATAAATATATAAAATATACATGTACATATAAGAGAACGAGGAAAGGAATGGAAAGAAGTTCAAAAATACCAATAAAGAGAGCTTGAATCTCTTCAATATTTGAATCTCAAGCTCTATGATCTTTAATAATCCTAAACCCTAGCTCTATTTTGTCCTGAAACACATTTTTAGCAAGAAGATGGCGTGTGGAATGCTCAAAACCAAGTCCCCTAGGTCATTTATATCAAAAAACAAAGCTTTGTGTTTTAGGTTCTGTTAGGGTGCCATGAGACTCCTACTGCAGTGCCCTGGTGCATGAAGCATTGTTTCTTTCTATGCACGAGATGTCATGGCACTTCTACTTTGGTGTTATGGCACTAGTGATGTTGCTTTATTTTCTTAGGATAGAGTGTTGTAGCACCTCACACATATGCCTTAGCATTAGTAGATCTTCCCAACTTAACTGCATTTTTTGTTAACTCTTTTCTTGATTTCTTATAATGTTCATGCGCTTCTAGCAAAACAAGCATTTGTGAGCGAAAAACTTGTTGAATTCAATTTTTAACAATTTACCTTATTTTCTTATTAATTTTAACATTATACGATCATATGATGCCTTTGATTACTTTCCCGTTGCCAACTTATGAAAATATTTTTACTTTTGCATTTATGACTTCCAAAATATATTCAAAATAGACTTCAAATCTACAAAAATTGGGGAGTTAACAATGCGGCCAAATGCATGTCAGGCCACATACTGCTTGACCTATTTTCACCTCTACTTTCCACTAACGCCTTCTCTAATGAGCGCTGACCTTCTACAATCTTGAATATTTGACGGCAAGAATAGTACTCCACCGTTCAATAAGGACTTTGTTGGCAGCGAGGAGCATGGTAAAGGTAGAGACATAGGGCTTAAGGAAGGCAACAACAATGGACACAGTATAGGTTCATGAAAGATCGACAGACAATAGTGACACAACAATATTAGAAGAACAAGAATTTAGGATAGAGATGACAGAACGACGTCATTGGCATTAAGGATGTGTTTGGCTAGCAGAAATGCAACAAAAAACAAGAATTGTGCTTCAATAATGGAAGCGACAGAACATATTGCAATAATTTGGCCCAAAACAACCTAAGCTCATGATACCAAGTAAACTAAAAAAGTATTTTAGAGTGCTTATAGCACTAAAAAGTAATTTAGAATATTAAATGAATGACACTAAAAAACTATTTTAGAATGGTAAATTTTTTTTTTAAAAAAATTTCATCCTCCCGTATTTTTCCCTAAAATGGCATAGTTTTGCTGGTTGAAGCGAATGCTAAGAGGAAAGGAGAGAAGCCGTGTCCACACACAACACCTGTTTGCCTTTATTTCTCTCTTGGATGAATGCGAATGTCAAAAGCAAGCAAGGAAAAATGGCTTTGAAACAGCATAGTTTCAAGATATTTTGAGGATAGTGGGTGGGAGAGGTAGTAAAACTGGTAATATGGGTTGAACTTGTGAATCCAACTTGCTAACCTATTAAAAATAACGAGTTAGGATTGACTAAAAGCAAATCAACCAGTAAACAAGCATTTTTAACCCGCACTGCCAGGCCAGCAATTTGTCACAGGTTAGGCCACCAACCTCCGTGCTAACCTGCATTTTTTATTTTTTTAATTATTATAATTATATGATTATATATTATATTTATCTAAAAAATTAGAAAAGTATCTATATAATTTATTTGATTCTTTCAATCAAATATTTTTAACCCGACTTATATAAATTTAACTTGTTATGAGCCAATCCGTAATGCCCCAATCTGTTGGTTGGCCTCCTGGGAGGTAGCATAGGGAAGCCAACCCTAGATTCCAAACGTGCAAGTATACCACGATTGCACCCATGGGGCGTTATTTCTTGTCCTTCCCTACCCTATCGGTTTAGAATGGGACGCGAGACTGACAGTGAGAATACGGTTCACGCTGGTCGAAAAAAGGATGATGCGGAAAGTTACAATTCTTTTTCAGCCCCGATGCTGAAAGTCACAAAAAATAAAAAGACAAATCTCGTAACAAACCATTTTTTATAAATATCTTCAGAAGATGAAAGGTGTGTTTGGATTAGCGGTGGAGAAGTAACTTTTTTTTTCAATCTGACTTTTACAGAAGTCAGATTGAGTAAAAGTCAGATAGGGTAATGTGATTTATGTTTGGATTGGGTTTTAGAAAAAAGTTAGTTTGAGAAGCTGAAACTTGTTTGGATGATAAATGTAAAAGTAAGTTTGGATGTAAAATGACTTAAAAGGACATGAATTCTATTAAATAGCACATATCTAATATTAGATATATATATATATATATAATGTGACTATTTTTTAAGAAGTAAGGAAAATAAAAATTATTAAAAGTAAAGAAATTTAATTTAGTATTATAAAGAAATTATATATATAATGTGACTATTTGTCATAAATAAAGTAATGAAAATAAAATTATTAAAAATAAGGAAATTTAATTTATTGTTATAAAGAAATTATATATATAATGTGACCATTTTAAAAGAAGTATTGAAAATAAAATTATTAAAAATAAAAAAAATTTAAGTTATTATTAGAAGGAAATTGAAAAATAATAAAATACTTAATTAAATATATGTAATGGATAAATATATAAATTAGAGGTCATACATACATAGCATTTTTAAACTAAATACATCAAATAACTAATTGGATGCCATGCTCAATACAATTTGGTCTCTAATTGTGTCACGCACATGATTCATTTGTCTTGATCTAGGTAAATTTGAAGAGGATGTCTCACTAGCTTCATCATGATTGTTTTCGTCAATTGTACCTTCAGATTGAGCTTGTATGAAATCTCTATCAGTTTCAGAATTTCTTCGGAGGAAATTATGTATAGCCATTGTAGCACAAACTACTTGGACTTGAGTTTTATACTTGTAACTTGGCATCTTCTCTAAGATGCGAAACTTATTCTTCCACACCCCAAAAGTCCTTTCTATAGTGCACCTCAAACTTGAATGGTAGTAATTGAAGACTTCGTTATAATTTTCAAATCCCGGTTGTCGCCTGAAGTTTGGAAGGTGATAGCGCTCACATCTGTACGGACCAAGATATCCTGGTAGAGTTGGATAGCCAGCGTCGACCAAATAATACTTCCCTAATAAATTATGAAATTATGTTGACATTGTGAAATTAATGAAAATATCAAATGAATTCGTTATAATTTTCAAATCCTGGTTGTCGCCTAAAGTCTGGAAGGTGATAGCGCTCACATCTGTATGGACCAAGATATCCTGGTGGAGTTGGATAGCCAGTATCGACCAAATAATACTTCCTAATAAATCATGAAATTATGTTGACATTGTGAAATTAATGAAAATATCAAATGAATTCGATATAATTAAAATTGAAGCTAATGAAAATATACCTGGAGGTGGATGAGGGAAATCCAAGGCTGGAGTTGAGACAGCAGTGTTAAACACACGAGCATCATGTGCAGTACCTTCCCATCCCGCTAACACAAAAGTGAAACACATGTCCCAGTCACATACAACCATGACATTCTGTGTCGGATATCCCTTTCTCCTGATATATTTGTCTTGCTTCGAAAGACTCACCACACATCGTACATGAGTGCCATCAATTGCTCCTATTGCATCATTGAAATATGGCGAATATCGTTTATCGTTTTTTATTTTTGGGTGAGTTACAGAAAACGTAGGATCGAGTGGTTTGATATATTCCCTGGATAGACTAAGGCAAGCCTGTAATACTCTATGAAAATGCCTGCTTACAGTTTCTCCTGAATGTTGAAACATTTCTTGAATCATCTTATTACATTGTCCATGACCAACCGTGTTCAAAAACATACCAACAATTTCTTCCACTCCCAGATACTTAGAATTTTGTAAACCATGTTAAACCATTTTAGAGCATAATCGCATGAACATTTCTTTTTCCATTCGAAACATGTCATAACACCGAATTTCATGATCTCGCAAAATTTCTTGCACCCATAAATTACCTGTTTGCTGACTAGTTCTTCGTGGCTCTTTGCACACATAAGGCATCACATATTGACTCACCAATACAGCTACCTCTTCATACTGTGTTATCTCTTCATCTAAAAAGGAAATCAATTGAGATTGTTCATCTTCCTCCGACTCCTCTTCAGACTGTTCATCTTCCTCCATCCACTCAAACGTAAATTGATTGTTCCAATTTGCCATAGATAATGTCACCTGTGAGTATGGTTAAATTCAACTGTAAGAATTTTTTTAAACGAAAAATAAATATTTTTAGGTATGTGCAGATAAATATTTTTTTTGCTGTTAAACATACAAACACATAAAAATTAGTCTAAAAAATTCATAAGCTGCAATTACCACTATAAATAACACATGTAACTTAGAAACATTCAAAACATTCATAATCAGTCAACAAGTTACATAATTTCATAGTTCCACAAACATTAATTTAAAAACATATAATAACAACTCTGGTCCGAGTTAGACAAAATAAAGTCATAACATGCATCCTAAAATATAGTTCAAGCAGGCGGGGGTGGCATCCATGATGGTGGATTGTATGCCATATCCTGTAGCCATGTCCTTTTAGTGAAACAACCATTTCCCAAACACTCTTGTGCAACAGAAGTCTTAAACACCGGTTTCGGAATCAGAGTTACTTGTAATTTCCTTAAGGCAGAGCACTTCGGCCGTAACCTCAGAAATTGATACCTCTTTTATTTTGTTTAGAACTGCAGTTCTATCCTTAGATGCAGTAGCTATTTCACTAACTGAATCTGCTATTTGTCTTGAGGCTGGAATTTTTTGCTTTGTTTGCCTGCTAGACCCTTCACCTCTCTTCCTCTTCCCATGGCTTCCTGAACCACTAGGTGCAGTTTTTGCTGTTAAGTTTACGCCTGCCATCTCATCTGTAACTCCTACACTAGCACCTCCAAGATCTTCTTCGCTATCCCCCAATCCTTCAAGGAGATCTGTATCAACTCTATACATATTCTCTTCGTCATCCTCTTGTGTCTGAGGTTGGGTTAAAGACAGTGCCAACATATCCTCTCCAGATGCTATCACACCCTTGAATATCGTGTTTAATTCATGAGCAAACTTTAACCCCTGGTACCTAAACTTTTTATACTGGGGATTCTCCTGCAAGAATACAATCAACAAAAATAAAAAGCCTATAACAAGTAATAACACAGTTCATAACTCAAGATTAACAATTATATACCAGTTTTTTCTTCTCCCACCACTCATTTGTTGCCAGCACTGTATTGTTTATAGGGTCTCAACCTACACCAGTCTCTTTGGTTAAATCAACCCATGTCCTCCAATCCTTCCTCAAGCTATCGAGCCTATTTTTCAATTGCTTCTTCTCATATGATTTTCCTGTTTTTGCATTGAATGCAGAGTGAATGTTGTTCCACCCAGGCTTTGAAAATGATGTTCCTTGACGATTTTTCCGGTAGATTTGCTCCATGCATTCTTTAAGTAACACCTCTGTGGTGCTTGTATCCCATGTTGCCTTACTTTTTTCTTTGTTCATAATTCTATTAAAAAATGTCAATCAAGAATGCAAAAGGGAGTTACAGTGAACCAGAGCACTTTTCTTCCAACAATGCAGAAATATTATGTTTCTTTTGTAAATAAATATGAGAGGAAATATCTAATATATATAATATTTATAAATTATAATCTCACAATCATATATATTTAGGTTTGTAAAACATACTTATCAACAATAAGTATTATTGATGAATATATAGGCCACTTTTTACAAACACCAATCTTCAGATTTTCAAACTAAAAAACGCATACTTTTCGGAGCTTATGGCAAATAATTAACAGCAAAGGGGTAGTCAGTTTGCCAGAACCACAAATTATAAATAGAAACACAGAACTACAAATAAATAGAAACATAGATCTTCAAATTTTCAAACTAAAATGCGCCTACGAGTCTGAGCTTGTCGCAAATAACTAACAGGAAAGACAGACTAAACACACAGCCAAAAAACCACATTAATCGATACTACCAAGTCAGTTCTTCCTACTACGCTGCTACCAAGTTCGACAGCCAGACCACACTAATCGAAAGAACGTAAGATCAAGAGCAAGAACATCATATCAACACTCCTATAACAGCTATGGGTCCGACGGCAGCCAAGAACAAGAATCGAAGACAAGCAGATCTGGGACCAAAAACGTGTATCTCTTACTAGGTGAACAAAGGAGACTCTAAGCAATGTGCATCTGGAGCAGACGCGATCCGGCGGCGGTGAAAACGGACGGCGACGCTTGCAACCGAACAGAGGAAGAAGATGAACGACGACGATATTTGAAGGATCTGAACGAACGACCATAGTCCAGCCACTCCCACACAACAACTAGAACTGATGAGATGGAGGAACACAGCGGAGACACGGCGGGAGACAACGATGACAACAGACGGCGACGCTGGAAGAACTAAACGAACAGAGGAAAGAACTGATGAGACGGTAGAAGAACTGAACGACCGACCACAGTCCACCCACTCCCACACAAGAACCCGAACTGTTGAGACGGCGGGAGACGATGGGCGCACGGCGGGAGACAGCAGGCGCATGGCGGGGATATGGCAGCAGACGTCGGGAGGAGTTTAGCTTCAGAGCGTCTTTCAAAATGAGTGCGTGTGCGTCTTTTTTTTTGTCTTTGAGCTGAAGTGAGAGAAAAAACATGCAGAGGGTCAGTTAGGTAAAAAAATTAACACCCTAATAAAATACTCCAACGGTTTTCTCAACTCAGCTGCGCATCCGAAAAAAAGCACCTACAATGAGCTTCTCCCAGAAGCCCATTTGAGCCTCACAAGTCAGATAGTCCCATTGCAGATCCAAACACCCAAAATCACAGTCACAATACAAATCAAATTGGGACACACGTTTGAGGGCCCAAACGTGATCCCAAACGGACCGAAGCAATCTGGTTTCTTCTTTATGAATACTAGCATATAGACTGCAGTTTTCATTCTAAAGAAAAAAAGTAGACGAAGCAATCAGGGTAGGGAATTCATATCGCAGTTCGTACTAAAACGTTAAAACCTACAGAGCCATCTCTTGGGCCATGACCACTGCCATCACGTCGTTCTTATCATATTACAGTCCTTTGTTCTTTTCCCCATTTCCATCAGTCTCGACATCGAGCAAAACGCCTGTCAGTGTGCCCCTCAGATCCATGTCCTGGAGCTCCCCCCGCTTCGCAGCAAGGGCAAGCAGCCTCCCCATGGAGCCTGAGGTCCTGCAGAAGGGCATCGCTGAGTTCTACGATGAGTCTTCTGGCATTTGGGAAGAGATCTGGGGCGACCATATGCACCACGGCTTTTACGATGCCGATTCCGCCGTTTCCGTTTCCGACCACCGCGCTGCTCAGATCCGGATGATTGAGGAGGCCCTTCGTTTCGCTGGTATTTCTGGTACTCTCTTACCCTAATCACCTTGAAAACGTCGTCGTTCCATATTTGTAATATCATCATTATAGTGAGACCCGCAAGTCTAGCGTTGAAGCAATGAAGCATGCCTCCAAGGAAAATATTGACAGGAAATTGGGAAGTTTGGATCTCAAGTTGTATTTAATGAACCTGCTGGCAAAATGGAGCAGAAGCTATTTATATATTTGTTTTAATGAATCAAGCTATAAAAAAAATTGGGAATATATAGCAATACTCAACTTTTGCAATATTGAAATTCATGTGAAGTTAAGAGGCTTATTTTCGGCAACTAATTTTTCTTTTAGCCTTTTATGTTTAACCCGTTTCATAAACTCTTCTGCTAAACGTTTTTCATCACTCATTTAAAAAGTCATTCCGTCAATCTTATAATTTTTTCTTAAAAGAAAAACAAATCCATAGCCGTAAATATCAAAATAAATTAAGAGGAATTGGAACAGGGTCCTTACTTCTTAGTCCTGATTTCTCTGAACATAATGTTCTGCATTGGAGATGAAGCGCACTAACTCCTAGTTTTATTTCTGAACGGCTAGAGAACCCATCCAAGTGGCCCAAGGCTATTGTTGATGTTGGATGTGGCATTGGTGGAAGTTCAAGATACATGGCAAAGAAATTTGGGGCAAAGAGCACCGGCATCACTCTAAGTCCTGTTCAAGCTGCGAGAGCAAATGCTGTTTCTGCTGCCCAAGGGTTAGCTGACCAGGTCTCTGTTGATCTTTTCGTTTTTCTTTTCTTTCTTTGTTCCCCATTATCCATTTTATGCTTGCTGCCTAAAATTTGATATTGAAAAGGATTAAAGAAACTAAATTTTTGATTTTTTTTATAGGATATATTCAATGTATGTAGCTCCTTTTCTGTTACCTTCCTATTTCTGCGGTAGCAGGTTTCGTTTCAAGTTGCAGATGCTTTAAAGCAACCGTTCCTTGATGGGCAGTTTGATCTGGTATGGTCCATGGAGAGTGGAGAACATATGCCTGACAAAGCAAAGGTTTCTTTCTCTCTTTCAGTATTCAACATTAATTGCGATGGACTGATCTTGATGAAATTCTTTAGTTCCATCTGACAATAACATGGAAAGTATGATTGACTCTGCATTTCTGTTCAGAGTACTAGTAGTTGGTAATATCATCTCAATTTATCCACGCCACACTCTATTGACAGTTTGTTGGTGAGTTAGCTCGAGTAGCAGCACCGGGTGGCACAATAATAATCGTAACATGGTGCCACAGGGATCTCGGCCCTACTGAAGAATCTCTGAAGCCATGGGAGGAAAATCTTCTGAAGAAGATATGTGATTCATATTATCTCCCAGCCTGGTGCTCAACCGCTGATTATGTCAGATTACTTGAGTCACTGTCACTTCAGGTAGTTAACTGAAAAAGCTGGAACTCTGTCTTAGTCTTCCGTGTTCACGAAAGTCCATGTCCTATCTTCTACTTAATCTATGTGTAGAGCACAGATGATATAAGGTTCTGCTGCACTGTGCGAATCTGACACGGTTGCTTGCTGTTGTAGAACATCAAATCAGCAGATTGGTCTCCCTTTGTGGCTCCATTTTGGCCAGCAGTCATACGCTCGGCTTTGACGTGGAAAGGTCTTGCATCACTCTTGCGCAGCGGTAAGAACCCCCTTTTCTTGTCGCCTCTTAAATCTGGGGTAGTTAACAGATATTTTCTTGAGTTACCTTTGATAAATGGGTCGACCAACACATGTCAAACCTAGTTTGTGCTACAACATCTATCATTCACATATTGTAGTCTAGTCATGAATAACTTAATCCATAATTTTTTTGTAAGGTGGTTTGAATTTCTGTTACCTTCTCTATCTTCACAGTTTTTTTAAAAAAATAAAAAATAAAATGGCCTATATTAGAAACGCAGTATAGTATATGACAGTTACCTGAAAATATCTTAGCAGACCATATGCGATTCAAATGAGGACTGGTTCGTCCTTGGTAAGCGTACCCTCGTTAATGATTAATACCTGATGATAAGCTTTAGTTTACCAAGTTTGTCTCATGTTTTGAAACATTTGGTGGATCATCTGAATGTGGTTACTCTTTTGGGGCAGGATTGAAAACCATAAAAGGAGCGTTGGCTATGCCATTGATGATAGAAGGATACAAGAAGGGTCTAATTAAATTTGCTGTCATTACATGTCAAAAGCCTGAATGAATGAAGGCGAAAAATGATTTAGCACCGGATGGGTTTCCCAACATTCTCATTGAGCATTCCTTGCAAGATTGAAAACCATAAAAGGAGCGTTGGCTATGCCATTGATGATAGAAGGATACAAGAAGGGTCTAATTAAATTTGCTGTCATTACATGTCAAAAGCCTGAATGAATGAAGGCGAAAAATGATTTAGCACCGGATGGGTTTCCCAACATTCTCATTGAGCATTCCTTGCAATGGGGTGCTTGTTATAGCGGAGAAATGAAGTGATATTCCCCACTTAAAATTAGTTCTGCAAAATGGTTCAACTCCACTGCATCATATTATCAATATAAAAAATCCTTGGTTTATTAAAACACTACTTGTAGCGTGCAATCTGTTGGGGGGTATTTTAACCCCCTTGTTTGTCTAAACTTGACTGGAGCACAAAGTGCATACAAATAGGCAACTAAACTAATGAAATTAGACAACCACAAATTATATAGGTCAGCCGGCAGTCAGATTTGATCAGGCCACCAAGAAATCGGTCAGTTTTAAAGAATGAATTAGGCAATTGCATGCTTCGACTTCTTAGTCTGATCTTTGAAATGGAATTAAAGCAGTGTTCTTGGTTGCTCCACTCTTTTCCCTCGTACTGCATATCTACTATTTTCTCATGTCACTTGAGGTTGATTTAGGTGGCAGCGAGGGGGTTGGGGAGGGAATTTCCCGTTGGAAAAATGGACCCATCCTTTGGTTGAAGCAAGGGGAAATTTCTCTCTCCCTATGGGGATTTGGAGGCACTATTAAAATCCCTCTCCCCCCTCTTTTCTGGGCGTTATTTGCTTCTTTTTATAGAAAAGTTAAGCTGAATTTTACCTATAAAATAGTCTGTCAAGAACATTAGATACAATAAATTTTTTTGTGCAAAAATATAGATAAAATATTCAAAATGGTTCAAAAATATTGCAAGATAACAAACATGTCAACTAAAAAAATACTATAAAAATACATGTGAACTTTTTGAAATGGTGTAAAAATATACATAAAAGTTTTTAATGATTGTGACATTTTTATATTATTTTAAAATTTTTATGTGTATTTTTGTACTCTTTTTTCTATATATTTGGTAAACGTTCATGACATTTTTATACCATTTTAAAAACTTTAAATATATGTATATATTTGTACATCTAAATCAAAAATTATGATATCACACGCATCTTAACTTTTTATAAAATTCCTCCTGTCCTTTCTCATGTCATCCCAGAAGTCATGGCCAGTGGAGCCTGATGGAACGAAACATGGCTGCATGGATAGTTGGCGACCACAGAAAATATAAATGTATTGTTTGTCTTGTAAAGCAAATATTCTATCCTTTATGGGAATTCATACAAATGTCTCTATTTATTTTATATGATATTATCAAAGAATTACATATTCATTTTATTTCAATTAAAAATATGACAATAAAAAATACATAATTCTTTTTTTTTATCTTTTCCTTAAATATAGTAACGCAAAAATAATTGTCGCTCCACAACTGTGAAGTTCTAACCTTGTCCCCTGATTATTTCAATTAAAGCAAAGCATTTAATCCTGTTTTCTATTGAAAATAACTGAACTTTCGGAGGTGGAATGTGGAGGAGGGTACCAGTGTCTGGGAGGATGATCGCCCAGGTTTCATTTACAATCATCCTACTAAAATTTATAACTCTATTATAACATATTTGTTATTACACTTATGATATATTTGTAATTACAAACTTAAAATTTACTAGGTATGCCTGCAAAATTTTAAAAGGATTATTCTAAATTTGTTATGATAAAGTTGTGATCATAATATGGTAGTTATAAATGGAGTATTGTCTCCGGTTCTTAATATAAAAGCTAATTAATTAATTCGAATAGTTTAAAAAAATAGTTAAGTTAACTATTTGTTATAAATAAATATTTATTTTCCTAAAATATCATTGCCAAGTGTATTAACTATAACTACTATTTAATGAAATATTTAATATGTGCAACTAGAATAAAGACTGTCTTTAAAAAAAATAAAAAAACATGAGAAACAAAATGAATTGAATTTTATACTCCTCCGGTCCTTATTATAAGATCCAATTTGACTTTTTATTTGGTCCTAATTATAAGACCCAATCCATTTTCTCTCTTATATTTATGCATTTTTTTCCAAGATAATCCTTCTAATAATGATAGTTTTAGCCAATATACTTAATTAGCAAGGATATTTTAGAAATAACAACACTTATTTATTATAAATAACCAACTTAACTTACTTCCTTAATCTCCTCAAATAAGTCAATTGGGTCTTATAATTAGGACCGGAGGAGTATTTAGGATCAAATTAAATGTCAAATTAGCTTTTATATTAAAGATTAGAGGTAATATTATTTATTATAATAAATGAAGTCATAAATGTAAGTTATTAATGGATCTCCATTTATAACTATCATGTTAAAATTCACGATTTCAATCTAACAATTCTGTAACTCCCGTTTGCAATTTGCCATTCATGTTGATGGCCAGTGACAAACATTTGTCAAACGATGGCCGCTTGCATTTTGTAATGATTTAAGGATGGAATTTTGGTGGTCGCCCTCGATGACTCCGTTGGCGACAACCACAGCAGAGAAAGATACGTACATTTTCTATTTTAATTTTATTAAAGTCTTCTTAAGTCTTTAAATAGTTCAATAATTTAAGGACTAACTGAAATTAAATCATTTATACTTTTATAAGGGCTTAGTGTCATACTTACAGCAAACAAAGGGAGAAAAATAAAAATAAATATATATCATAACTGTTAGGAAAACGAGAATGTTAGACGTGTTATGAAAATGACAAAGTTAGAGAGTATAGAGAGAATAGCAAGATAGAAATTGAGAGAGAAAAAACAAAGAGTATTTTTCATTCACTTGTATGGGTTATATATATAAATGTCTTGTACATGGCGGCCTTTAACTATTAAAGTCTAGCCCAAGGGTTACAAAGAAATGAAAAACAGAATAATGACAATAAATATGAAAAATTCCTCTCAGGTAATTTATTGGGGGTTATAGGTTTAGAACATTCAAAGATCAAGAATCCTATAAAGAATCTTAAGAGTTGGGATTAGGGACATCCACATATATATAATATTTATAACACTTCTCCTTGAATGTGCATAACAAATATTATGCCTCATTAAAACCTTACTAGAAAAAATTTATTAGGATAAAAACCTAATGAAGGAAAAATAGTATACAATATATATTGAAGCTACCTCGTTAAAAAACCTTGTAAGGAAAATCTTGTGGAGCAAAATATTGGCTAAGAAAAAAGAGTACAGCATGATCTTTACTTCCCCTGATAACAACGTCACTTTTATGCCCCCTGTGAATAGCATCACTCTTTATCATTTTATCACAATAGACTATACTCATTTCTCAAGCGATCCAATGCTTTTCCAAGCATATCTTTCTTTTAGCTGAGCTATACATGGTACGTTGTCATCAAATTATATATTGAAATATATTCTTCTAGCATTTCTTAGCAAAAATTATTGCAGTAAGACAATGGCCAAGAGGATTTGAAAAGCATTATGACATTAAGATTTCCAAGGATTAGCTAAGGCTTAGCTCAAGACCCCAATATTCGTCGTACTTGGTTTGATATTGCTACTACACATGACTTTAAAAGTCATGATGATATTACTAAGAAACATCTTTACCAAAATATTTTTGCCGGACAAACTTTCCTCAAATAATTTCCCATGGCCAAAAATAAGTTACTGCCACAAAAAAAGAAAGAAATCCTAGTTGGTAGACACCGCACTAGTGGTCAGCGTGGCGTCGGCTGTAACATCTTAAATTTTGCTTCAAGGATTTAAATATTTAAAAATTAAAAAAAAGGGTTTCAAACTATTTTTTTTCTCCGTTTTACCTAGGGTCTTTAACTTCAGTTTACTCTGAGTGTTAAAACTACTTCTAATTACAAAACTTCCTTCATGAAAGTTGTTCTACTCAATCAGATCTATCTAATGATAGTAATATTGTGTTGTTTAGAGAAAATTTTTGATATAGAGCTTGGAGCAAGTATTTAGTTTTGGTGAGTGTTAACCACAGTATTGTAGATCTGTTATAATAGATCATTTCTACCGGTTTAGATTCGTCCATTTGTTGATTTTAGTATTTAAAAATTAATTTTTAATTAAAAAACATGTTATTTATAAGATATATCATATTTATACCGATTAAAATTAAGTTAAATAATTTATTTGGGTTGTTTGACATATTATTAAGATTTTAATCAGTTTAGTTTTATTTATTGAGTGACTAGAGGTTTTAAAATAATTATTATAGTTAAAGTTTATTATTTATGAAAATATATATATGCTATTAAAATTTTGATTAGATTATTTATATATATAAATATTTGAGACACTATTGAATTTTTATGGTTCGGTTTTGAGGTTTAAATTTCAAATGAGATTTTTAGAATTTAGAATATAGTAATTTCATATTTAGAAATTTTGAAAAATTCCTTTTATTCAAGTAAATAAGTTGGAGGATGTAAATAAATAATTTGGCTTGTTAGAAAATTATCAGTTAGTTCTAAAGTATTTAATTTTGGGTTATAAGAGTTGTGGGAATTTAGAATGAAAATTAAATTAAATTAGGAATTTAACTAATATATAAACTTAATTAATTAATTAGTTTATATTAATATGTGGTTATATTAATTGTGTAGATTAATTATTGGTTGAGCAAAGGATTGACCTCGTGGTAATCCTTCTATTACTTTGGCGAGGGGTAATCACTTTCCACTTTTTATATGTGCTAATATGTTGTTTGAGAGTATTTTTCTATTTTTGAATAATATTTGTTATTTGGAATTCGAATAGGTATATTATATCTTTTGAGCTATGAAAATTGTCCCATGGGATTTTTGGAATTGTGGCTGAGAACTTTGGAAACGATATATGATTTATATCTTATGGATTATACTGAGAAAATATTGAGACATTTTTCGTTATATTGTGAATAATTGGTTGTTATTTGGATTTTGGATTAAGCGCTATCTTATCACGTGGTAAGGCCGCCATTGGTGCACATTGGTTGGCTTCTTTCTTCTTCTCCCATAGTGAAGGATAAGCGTTTGTGGTTTCTTATTCGTCCCCCAGAGTGAGGGATAGGCCTATATGTTTGATTAATCCACCATAGTGAGAGATAGACTTATGTGGCTTCTGTGTTAGCTTCCGTAGTGAGGGTTTGGATGATTGAAATTATATATCTATGTTTTCGAGAATTAACTGTCCCACTTGACACCTTACGAGCATGTGTTAGTATATATGATGAGTTGGAAGTTAGTTACTGAGACATTTGTCTCACCCCGTGGTTTAACATTTTCAGGTGATACTTTAGGTGATAATCTGTCAGGGAAGGCCTCGGAGGCTTAGTGTGCTATCACAGCTTGTATAGCTTCCTTTCGTTTGTTTTATGTGCTAATTTATTATATATTGCCATATAGGGCTCATCTATTTTGATATTGTGAGCTAATACATTTGATTATTGCTAATTAATGATAGAGCAGTTAGAAAGCCAGAGACTTCTAAGACTTTACACGTGACATTCGTCTGAAAGTATGAGTTTTGTTTGGGCTAAGGATTGAATGATATTTCTAGACTTTGGAAGTCTAAGGCCCAAGTTAATTATTTACGTGCTCATGATATAAGTTTATTTCTTTTAACCATGATAGTGATTTTAAAATTTTAAGGTTTCTTCTTTTCTATCATGGTTAATCTTTTGAATAAATTGAAATTTTGATTTAAATGGGTTTTGAAAGAATGGTCGTCACATCGGCAGCTAGTGGGTGACATTGGCTTCCCACTTGTGGTGGCTTTCGGCGAGGGGTTGAATTTTTTTTTTTAAAAAAAAACAAAGTGGAATTTTTATCGTTTCTCTTGAATTTTAAAATTTTAATTTAGGTTTACTTCCCTCCTTATCATTATCAACCGTTAACTTTCTGAATTGGGAATTGACAATTTTAGAATTCTTTTTTGGTCATTTTCCCAACTTAAAAACTCAGCCCAAAAAAGATTTTCTATTGAAATTTTAAAACTTAAGAAAGTTATTTATTTATTAGCCTTTCTCTAAAGTCCAGATGTTTCTGACTTTAGTGGTTAGCGATGGGTCTTGGAACCCGCTTTATATGCTGAAAATCTTGCGACGAAAAAGAAAAATGTTGAATTCCTTTTCTGGCGGTGGCAAATTTTCCATTATTTAAGGGAAGATGAGTTCTCACCAATTTTGATGGGAGCCAATTTTCCATCAGAGGTAGAAAAATGCAAAAGACCAAACTGTCCTTCAAATTTAAATAAAATGCTCAGTATCTCATCGATGAAATTATGTGAAATTGCTTGGACACATAGTATTGAATCTTTGTCTTTGCCATATGTACTTATCCATTTTGTCATTATTGAGTCACTCAACCAAAGCACACAGACTGCCCAACAAATGTCAATTTTTATTCAATAATTTTTAATAACATCTACCTCAATAAAAATGCTTTTATATAAACTAGATATGATTTTTTAAAGTTGATTCAAAACCTGCTGAGAAAAAAAGTTTTTAACCTTTACTCACTTTTTTTGATCATAACTTTAAAATTACAAAATGTTTTTGAATAAGTCCAGTTGCATTGAAAATTAGACTCAAAGAACTTTTAAATGATAGGTCGTTTGCTTAACTTGAATTTAAATTGAGAAAGTTATATATAATCAAAAGTTGCTATGTTCAAAGCGTAAAAAACAGAGTATAATAGAGATGTGATGAATTCAAATTTTGCACAAAAAGTCAGAATATATCGTGCATAAATTAAAATTTGATGCAATAATAAACCAATTATTAAATTTTAAGTTGTGAGAAAAAAATAAACCAATGACTAAATTTTAAGCTGTGAGAAAAAAAATGAGCATATTCAAATTTGATGCAAAAAAGTTGAATTTGCTACATCAAATTCAGATTCTCTTGAGTTGATTCAGATCTGATGTAAAAAAATTTAAATTCCTAATGATAATAAATTTCAAAATACAGAGAGTTTTAAAATGGGTCTTGTTGCATTAAAAATTAAATTTATGAATTTTTCCATGATGAATCATTTGACCTATTTAAATTTAAATCAACAAATGCATGTCATCTAAAAATTCACATTTTAATTAACTTTATCTGTGTCCTTTAAATTTATAGATTATTTAGTTATATATCCTTCTTTTTTATTTTGTGAATTTATTTTTGTTCTTTATACAAATGATAAATCATTTAGCCTATTTAAATTTAAATCAACAAATGTATGTCATCTAAAAATGTACACTGTAATTAACTTTATCTATGTCTTTTAAATTTATAGATTATTTGGTTATACTTCCTTCTCTCTTTTTTTCTTGCGAACTTATTTTTATTCCTTATACAAACTTCTCTGTTATATTTCATTTATATTTAGTCTTTAATTATTTAAAAAAATAGTTTTGTTTAAAAATATTATATTTTTGTTTACTAAAAGTATCATAATATAATGGGAGAATGACAGATAAAGAAGGTGAAATATATAATATTCGAATTTGGGAAGTTAAGGATTTCTAATGACAGAGAGGGAAATCCTTCCCAAATTGAAATTTTGAACTTCAGTAAAATGACAAAAATACTCTTTGTCTTTTTCTTTTTTTTTAAAAGCTAAGCCCTTGCTGGTGGCCAGCCACCGTCGATGACTAGCCACTTGCGAGCGGTCATCGCCGCCAGGTGCTTGCGTTGGCAACCGGTATGGTGGCTGTTGGTGGAATTTTTTTTGTCACAAAGTTTTTTTTTGGACATGGGAGAATATTGCAAGAAAGTAGTGGGGGTGGGATTTGATCCCACTACCTCTTGGTCATTTGGGTCAACAACAAAAAAGATAATCATTGGATCATCAAAGACTTATTTACATCATAATGCAAACAAAAATATAAGTTGACTTTTTTACTGTGATTCTAGCCCGTGACAACAATTTATGCGGGGATGACAAGTCTTAATTAAGAAATAATAAGTCTAAATTTGATATTAACAAAGCAATTTTTTCTGATATATAACCAGAAGTAGCATGCACATTAATTAAAAATGACAATAATTTATTTGAAAATGACACATCTTTACTGAAAAATGACAAGTCTAAGCTTGAAATTAACAATGTGTCTTTTCCTGATACATAATAAGAAATAGCATGTACATTAATTAAAAATGACAATACCTTATTTGAAAATGACATGTATTTATTGAAAAATGACAAGTCTAAACTTAATATTAATAAAGCAATTTTTTCTGATACATAACAAGAAATAACATGTTCATTAATTAAAAATGATAATAATTTATTTGAAAATGAGATGTCTTTACTGAAAAATGACAAGTCTAAACTTGAGATTAACAATGTGTCTTTTCCTGATACATAAAATGTGCATTAATTAAAAATAACAATAATTTATTTGGGAATGACATGTCTTGATTAATGCACATGTTATTTTATGTTATGTATAAGGAAAAGACACATTGTTAATCTCAAGTTTAGACTTGTTATTTTTCAGTAAAAATGTATCATTTTCAAATAAATTATTATCATTTTTAATTAATATACATGCTACTTCATATTATATACTCCTCCGATCCTTAATATAAGACCCATTTAACTAATTTGATAAGGAAGTTAGGTAAATTAGTTAATTATAAGAAAAGTGACACATTTTTCCTAAAACACCATAATCATCTTTTTTAATATCCCATCTGCCTCTTCTATTTGATTATGGTTGAGAGAGTATCTATAGGGGTAATTTAGAGAAAATTGATAAATATGAGAAATGGGTCTTTTATTTAGGACCAAAACCAACTCAAGAATTAGGTCATATATTAAGGACCGGAGGAGTATCATGAAAACTTGTTTTGTTAATATCAAATTTAGATTTGTTATTTTGCAATTAAGACTTGTCATCCCCAGATAAATTGTTGTCACATGTTGCAGTCATAGTTAAAGAGTCAACTTATATTTTTGTCTGTATTATAAGGTTAATAAGTTTTTGATGGCCTACTAGTCATTTTCTTTTTTATTGGTCCAAATGACCAAGGGGTAGTAGGATCAAATTCTACTACCACCATTTTCTTGCAATATTCTCCTATGCCCCCAAAAAAAAATTGTGACAAAAAAATCTCAACCGGCAGCCACCACACTGGTGGCTACTGGTGAGGATTGAGCTCTTTTTTTTTTAATAAAAAAAAGACAAAGAGTATTTTTATCATTTTACTGAATTTCAAAATTCTAATTTGGGAAGTACTTCCTTCTCTGTCATTAGAAATTCTTAGCTTTTCAAATTAGAATATCATATATTCTATCTTCTTTATCTGTCATTCTCCCTAATATAATTGCACAATTTTTTAACCCATTTTTATTCAATTAAACATAAAATTTAAATCGATTCCACTCCTTTCCCATTTTTTTCACCCCAACCAATTATTTCTAGCAAGGGAGGCTGTTCCAGTCCAAACTTTCCCGTTGGCTTCTCTCGACTCGCCGTTCTCTTCAGTCGGTACTCCGTGCCTCAATTCTCACCTTACAGAATCCCTTCCCATTCACTCACGGCATCATCTTCCTCTTCCACACCCAGGTTTTCATGGTCGACCACAAGGAGGCTTTGTTCTTCCAGGTTTTCGCTTTCTCTTGGATTTCTATTCCTATTTGTCCCTGTGTATTTTACTCTTTTCCTGCGAGTGATTATTCTTCAGGAAGCCACATTGATTGAACCAATTTTGTGATATTTTCTTCGTGGTAGAAGATGGGATAAAAGGAAGTAATGATTTAATGGAAGCAAGTACTCGATTTCTTTCAAGGACAATCACATTGGAATTGCCTTTTTTCCCTCTAAAAAAGTTTGACAGTACCAATGTTAAGCTTGTTATAAAGATTAAGGAGATATTAAAAAAAAATTGCTTGAAAATTTTTTGGAACTTAATGTATTGAGCGGCTGGAAATTGTAAGGAGAAAGCTATGTTGTTCTAGAAAAAGGCAGGGATGGAGAGAGTCCCCCGATTGGGAAAGAGGAAGATTTCAATCGTGGAGGGAGAGGGAGACATACTAAGGACATAATGCCCGATTATGCTACGGTTTTGCTGAATTATATTTCTTGTTGTTCTTACAAGTTATCTCAAACAGAGGCTCGATATTGGGTTTTAAGGTCAAAGGCAACGTTTCACATTATTTCTGTTTTATCTACACTAACATTTGGCATGATCTAGTAACAGAACAGAAAGAAAATTGATAGAAAAATTGTTCAAGCTTTTGTATATTAAGCAGCTGGAAATTGTAGGGAGAAAGCTCAGTTGTCATAGCAAAAGGCCCGGATGGAGAGAGCCCCTGGATTGGGAAAGTGGAGGATTCTACCAAAACTAGAATGCCCAATTTTTCTACGATTTTGTTTGATTATATATTTCTCGTTGTTCTTGCAAGTCAATAGCCCAGAGTATATGCTAGCGTCTTCTGCCATCTCTTTGAAATTACATAAATGCATCCTTGTTCAGATAAGTGCATGTGGATATGACTTCTATGCGTTGAGTTTTACTTGGTTCGGACTTCTAGTTTTTTGGAAGTTACATTTGCAGTTGGCGTGTTGACTAAGCATTCATACATGATCTTTTTTTCATTTCCATGCATGAAATTCCAACGTACCAAATGGGCCTTAATCTCTTAGTGCTTTAGGACTCGTCCCTTGATATTTGTGAAGTTCTTAAAAACTCAATCATGATCTTTGACTTCATGTTCACTAAACTGATTTCCGTTTTCTTTAAAGGTCCGGTTAGCAATTTGTGAATAAGTTGGGGGGATGGACTATCTAATAACGCTAGCAGGTCACCCGTTCTATTGATAACATATCCATTTCCATTATACTTCCAAAGATATCAATAGTTTTCTGATCTTAAATATTATAATTTTATGGTTAACTTGATGAGTTGTTATATGCTATTATTCTTCAATAGTCAGGTATATCCTGATAAGTGTTAATTTAATAAATAATTCATCACAGTATTTGTTATTTTGGGGGATTATATCTCACTTTTTATGCTTTGAAACTTGAGTCCACTATTTTGATTTTATATTTTTTCCTGTGCAAAAGCTTTTGGGTTTTTGCATAGTTCATCTTTTGGTTCATGCTTTATTGGGTTGTCTGCTTTTCAGTTTTATGAGTTCCTTTTTTATTGCACAGCTGAAGAGTTGTCAACATCTACTAAGAAATTTTGGTAATTTGTGTGGCATGATTATCTAAAGTGGAACTCATCTAGTAATAATCAAATGATGCTGACTATTTTTGTAGGCTGTTCCTGAATAGGTGAGAATATTATATTCCATTCTTTTATTTCTTAACATGAGACCAATAACAAATGAGATGCCTAGAGTTCAAAAGGAAAGCAAGTTTCAAGGTGAAGGACCCAATTGGCTTCTCATTGCTGCTGGTGCTTTATTTAGTACATTATCATTCCGCCTTGGGTGCAAGCTGAAGCAGGCACTTGACTCAAAGCAGCTTGAAAGTGCTAGTAATTTTCTGACATTTTCGTTGGTTTGATTGGCATCACTGTAATGACTTTTATCATATATGTCAGATTATAACTTTATTTTTATTTTAAAAAATCAGGAACTAGAAAATCCTCCAGTAGAAGGAAACCTGCAGACAATGATTTTCAGTCTAATGGATATTCCCTTGCACAAGATAGTGATGGCTGCTTCAGCTGCATTTCAGGTCTAACTTGGTCCTTTGCGTTTGCTTTTGTAGTTTCTCCTGTTGCAGAATGTTTTCCTAGTAAACTCTCCTTTTTACCCCTTTTTTGGTTTTATTTTATTGTCCAAACATTGTCTAAAAACCTCATGCAATGCACGGATTCCACAACTACGGACATCAAAAGTATGTAACCAACCAATATGGCACAACACTTACACCACGACCAAACCACTGAAAGTGTATTATGGACAAACATTACACCAATCAGCAAACCTCACAAGTTCCAATCAACTTGATGACCCATCAGTAGGTGCACCTCCTAATTCCCGGCCAAAATAATATTCGTAGTAGTCACTTTCTTCCTTGTCATTGGATCAAACATTTGCGTACAATTTGATCCTGGAATAATTAGAGAATAGTACTTACGACCAAATGTCTGACTGCCAAATCACTTAATTAAATGAGACAATTAGAAATCATGATTCAAGCTGATATGTTTGACACATTTAATCTTGCAAAATTGAATCAATACAGAACTAACCCTCTCATTTCCTCTTGACAGTCTCTTGTAAGTATCATCTGCAACCTCACTTAGATCACATCTCATCATATTACCGCCGGAAGATTTGTCAAATACAAATTGATGATAGAAAATAAACTGGATGTAGATGAAAAACGATGGATCATGGTAGGTTGGCTTGCCTTAGATCAGTCAAACTAAACTTCAAAGAAGATTTGAAAGAATCACCATCCTCAATTTATTTGTAATGTCCATAATCCATCAGCAAACCTACTACATCTAAACGATAAAGTATAAAACAATGTAATAAGCGTTGGTCACTGCTTAATTATTAAATCATTCTTGAAGGATTCTGTTTGACTATCTTATAGAATGGCCCTATGTTGTATGCATTGTGTGCTTGGTCTTCCTCCCTAACCTGTTGGAAGGATTCTTTCCAATAGGATCAAATTTAGGGATTTGATTCCCCCAAACTCAGTAAAATCCACTCTTCTGAATGCATGAAGAACCCTAACGCTTATGTGCTGGTTAATGTAGGCAGAAAAAACGTTCCTCAAGGGCATCTCTATCATGTGATCCATTTCTATATTTATAAAAAAAGGCGGAGGTGTAAATGATTGTGGCACAAATAAGTGAGTTTTTATGCGACAACTCTAATTTCTTAACATATTATCCAAAAAGATATGAAAATAAAGTACCTGAAACCTAAAATCACCATCCTGTAACACGTTCAACTTTAGACATGATGCAATTGGGGAGAATGTATCTGGCAATTCAGTTTTCTTTCTCCTTGTGAATGTTTCCTTATGATTGTGGTGAAGGAACTAAATGGCCATTCCTTGTTTATAAATAATAAAAACCTAATCAATTTTAGTATACAACGTTCACCAATTTCCATTTTGAATAATGATGTGCCTTCATACCCACTAAATAGATGATTTGAGTTTGACTTTATAAAATAAATTTAGGATTGTTTTCTCTCAGAATATGTTGTGCCCTTATGAGTTGAACAATGTACGTAGATAATGGTATGCATGCGTTAGAAATTATTGACTTAAATATTATTTATATGCTCATAACTAAATAAATATTATTTATTGAGTAAACTGCTTTGAATTTTTAATTATGTTTCAGTTCTATAAAAAGATTTCCCTGTAAATTTTAGGTCTTGTCATTTAGTGAGACTCGAGTATCAGAGTAATTTTTCTCCCTCTTTCTGTCTGTCTCTAGCTTCTTTCTTGTTTCCACCTATTTTGTATGTTGTTTCTATATTGCGTTCTATTGAAGTCTGATCTGATCTAGTCATCGGTTACCCAACTATGTCTGCACGCCTAAGATTTGTAGAGTGTTTCAGACGCCGTCTGGCTCTCCTATCCTTTTTGTTCCGTTCTTGTATTTTTCTATCATCTATCGTTCTTCTGGTGCTTGTACATCATTTGAAGTCATTGCATGCATCATTGTTAACGTAACAACGTGTAAAAGTAATTTATAAGAGTTCCATTTATTGTTCGAGATGTAGGAAGTAATTTGCAGTTGCAACAATTTTATTTGACTTGTGATGGTGGGGGAAGTGGGAATTAAAAGGATGTTCAAATCAAGAAGACGATCCAGATGTTATGAATCTAATTATAGCTCAACTTATCACACCTTACTGATATTTTTCCATGAGAATACGCAACTTGATGGTCTGTTGGCGAAGTCCAAAGTTAAAGGAACAGTGGTTTACTTGGACCTATGCAAGGTGATTCTAGAGTAACTGCAATTATGGTGATCAGGTTTTGTGTTGAGCATCTGCAAATGGGATATATTTTGGTTAAAAGGAAAAGTGTCACTGGATGCTTTCTGCGGATTAACTTGATCTAAAATGCTCTTCAGTTAATGGACCGCTTTTCAAGTTGACTGCTTTCAGGTAGAAGCTAGTCAACTTTGGATATAAATCAGCTTACAAATAATTAGTACTCATAGTTGATGAAATTAACTTCTTGGAGGTTACATGGATTAATATAATTCCTTTATATTTTGCTCTTGCAGCATCCATTTTTGATATAACAGGATAGCTTCGTCCAGCCCTTGCCTTGGAAACTTTATCTGTTAGGTGCTGCACCTAACATGGAATTTTCTTTGTTTGTGTTGATGTTTCTTACAGGAACTGGAGGTGCAACAGCACTAAAGTGCCAGTCAAATGGTCAGATGCTGAGGGAATCTGAGGGGGCCCTCCCCTTCGTTACTGTTTCTGGTGCTGAATTTAGCAAGGAGAATGGTGTTCTTTGGACTTCCTCCCCTGATCAGCTTGAATTACCTTCAAAGTCATTCCATCATTCAAACTGCTCTGACTCACCGTGTGTTTCAGAATCTGGGTATGATATCTTTAGCAGGAGGGAAGTTATACAGAAGCTGCGGCAACAACTGAAGAGAAGAGATGATATGATACTGGAGATGCAAGATCAAATAGCTGAGTTGCAAAGTTCACTCAATGCTCAGTTAGGACTTTCTTCTCATTTACAACTGCAGCTTGATGCTGCGAACAGGGATTTGTTTGACTCTCGGAAGGAGATTCAACAGCTGAGAAAGGCAATTTCAAATCATTGTGTTGGGCATGCTTCCCATGACAAGTCTTCTACCATTACTGTTAATAGAAGCGGCCATGCAAATGGACTTACTGACGGGGATAATAATTTGGAACTCCCTGAAGAAGAAAGGGACGATAAAGAGAGAATAGTGATGCTGAGGAGGCAAGTAGGAGAGTTGAAAGAGGTAGTAGAAGGAAAAGAATTCTTGCTTCAGAGCTATAAGGAACATAAAGAGGAACTTTCTCTGAAGATTAAGGAATTGCAGCAAAGATTGGACTCTCAGCTGCCAAATTTTTTGTAGGGTTGTCAGTTTGTGAATTCCTTTTTAGGGGAGGCCTCTCGTCCTCATTCTTTATTTTATAATTGTAATTAGCTAATCTTGATTGTGGATGATATAATGTGTTTGGGAAGCATGTGCAAAAGATGAAAGGAGCAAATCTGAAAATTGGTGAAAATGATGGGCTGTTTTGGAGTATAAGTAACTTTTAAAGGTTTTGGAATGAACTAATTTTATACGAGGGGGCAAATAACCACGAGCTTTTTCTCTGTTCTGACGTTTTGCGTGCATCGCATCTCTTGTGGAGGTGCATCATATATCTTGCAATTCGATAGATGGAGTTTGTGCTCCTAAAGTTTTTAGCCGGGGGGTTAATTTAGGGTTTGTTTGGTTTCTTGTTTTGAAAACAATTTTTTATTTTTAAAAACAGAGAGAAAAAAAATTTGTTTGGCAATTTGTTTTTAGTTAATTGTTTAAAAAAAAAAAGACAATATGTTTTTAAAAACTGAAAAAACAAAGCAACTTTTACATGTTTTCTTGTTTTTTTTTGTGTTTTTTATTTTTTTGTTTTGAAAAATTGGAGAAATCTTTTTCTCTTCTCCTTTACTATTTATTACTTATTAGTACTGGTGATAACTACCACTTGTCAAAGTGTAATTTTTTATTATTATTTTTTCAAATGTGATTTTTTAAAAATTATTTTCCAAACAATTTTTTTTTGTTTTTTGTTTTCCAAAACTTGTTCTTAAAAACAATTTTATAAAATTGTTTTGAGAATAAAAAAACAAAGAACAAAAACAAACAGGCCCTTAATTTTTGATCTCTGAAATTTAAGTCTATTTTTATTTTAGTTTCTTAAGCTTTAAATTTATAATTGTAGTCCTTGAAATTTAGTCCATTTTAAAAGGTTAGTCTTTGGAGGTGTAATAAAATTGAAATCTACTTGGGTGTCATAAATAGTGTTAGAGTAGTGATTAGATGCACCAAATGACATCTAAATGGATCATGTGGATAACAAAATGGGAAAAAAAGAAGAAAAGAATATGTCCTCAAAATGTAGTTCTTTAGCCTATTGTTTTTTCTCCCTGTTGCTCATTTCAGAAGCTATTTATTGTGTTGTATTATGTTATCCACATAAGACCCAATGAAGTGTCATTTGATAAATCCACGTCACCACTTTTAACATCATTGATAACACTTTAATAAATTTTAATACCGTTGTACCTTCAAAGACTATGTTTCAAGACAGACTAAATTTAAAGGACTAAAATCAAAGGTTTGAAATTTGAGGGATGAAAATCAAAATGAACTCAAATTTCAGGGACAAAAATTATATTAATGTCTTTTAAATATTACTGTTTTGCGTCTAAGGTTACATGTCGCTGCTACACCTCTATATAACCGTTGTGAGCGTAGACTGAAACAATTCCTTGGAAAATAAAAGTGGGTGCGGCATTATGCACAAGTAAACATGGTTAACAAGTCACTTAACATTATTAACAATTTTGGTATTATTCTTAATAGTGAGTTTTCAGAAAATTAAAGAAGTGTCATTTTTATAATTTCAGTAACGAGGTTAATAGGTTATGTAACGATATTAATAACTTTCATAACACTATTAACCACATGATATGAGAACTTTTTACACTTTGAGAGATTAGTCAGTACTTAACAAATAGGAAAATTTTCAACCCTTGTAACGCAATTAACAAGTCATGTAATAATATTAACAACTCTTATAATGATATTAATCACATGATCTAAGAGCTTTATACACTTTAAGAGATTAGTTAGTGCATAATAAATGGAAAAATTTTCAACTCCTATAACACGATTAACAAGTTATTTCATGTTGTTAACAAGTTTGATATTGCCGTTAACAAGTTTTTAGGAAATTAAAAGGTTCCATTTTTACAATAGGTTTTCTAATTCATAAGGGTAATATGGTTATTCTATCAAATTACAAAATTCTCATTCGGTCATATTTGACTGAAATAAAATTTTTCTTATTCAGGTAACTATTTGGGAATTTCCAAATTCAATAATCACTTTTATGTCATTTTTCCAAATAAATGTTCCAATTACATCAACAATGATACATATCATTTAACCGCATGTTGTAAAGTCCGCATCTTAAAATTAAAGATTTGCTTACTTTAAAGCTCTTTTAATCACCACTATTTTAGGGCACAAAACAATTAAAGTAGCTACCAGAGTAAAAAACTCATTTCAAAGAAAATCCATGATTGACAAAAAAGATCAATAACTTGGAAGGTCAATCATGGATATTCAAAACTCTTGTTAATATTCATACAAATTGATGTTTAAAGAAGGAATACATTCACTTTTCAAAGTATACATGAATGCAAATTCCATATCACTTTAACATGCAAAACCATATTAGAAAGGGTTTAGCTCTACTAATATGGTAATAGGAAACTAGCCACTGTATGCCCTAATAGGAAACTTATAGCCTTCGGCCTACTACTAGTACTTCATCAGCAATTTAGAAATCCACATTACAAGTTTAATAAACATATAACCATGGGTGAAACATAAGTCTTAGTAATTATTATCATACATATAAATACATCCTTGTAAGGTGTGAAGTGGAATAATTAAGAATTAGTACAGAAACACATATAGATATCTCAGATAGTAACATTTTTCAAACTCATAAATCAATTCTTCGAACTCATGTTTCATAAATTAATGTCATTGTGCAAATACAATCCTTATAACTACCTTCCCTCATTGTTGGGAAAGTATAAAAAAAGAGTCAAAAGGATGATCCCTCATTATAAGAAAAGTAAAAGCCTAGAAAGCCAATCTCTTACTATGGGAGAAAGAACAAAAAAGGAAGTCACTCACTATGGGGGATATGAAGAAACTCCAAGGCCTATCACTCATTTTAGGGATTCAACCAAGAGGTTGTTTCCTCACTATAGGGGAATGTAGGGAGCTAATCATCATGCATTAATAGAGATACTCGTTATGTGACAATAACAGACACATATAACTCACTAATTCTTATTATATGCATCATGCTCAATAATGCATTCAGTTAATTTCCCAATTACATAATCTATTTCCAAATCAAAACTCATAGTCATAACATGATATCTTCAACTCAAAGAATTGCATTTTCAAAACCTAGTAACACAAGACTTATTTATATCAAGATAATTCTAAGTGTATGCAACATATTTTTTTTCATGATTTAAAAGTAACAAAACTACTCACAAACAATATTTTAATATATATAATTAGTGAAAAGTGGTTATCTCTCGCTTAAGCAAGGATCAGTTACCGCAAATCAAGTTGCCTTATGCATAATAACACCAATCACAAACAATTTAAATAATGACACATCCACCACATATTAGTTAAGAACTAATTAAGTGGTCAACAATAACAACCGGGGGACTTAAATCCCTAGCTTAACCTAAGTCTCATCTCGACTTCAACTAGACCACTCCAACACTCAACACACTATCCTAATAAGTCAAACAACTCTTAAAAATCCTCAATTGCCTCCTAATAACACCAATGGATCAAAAGTCTCATTTTCTAAATTTAGGGCTCATCATAAAAAATACCCAAATTTAAAAATCAAAACAAATCAACATTCTAAACCAATTAAGCATCAATTTTAACAAACATTAACATAACTCAATCATCAAAACTTGAATCATCACATTATCATTAACTATCATAAACCTCCCAAAATTACAAACCCTAGCCTAAAATCCTCAAAACACCAAACCCAATAAAATTAAACTAATTAAACACTTAATCTAGTCAACATAAGTCATTTAAAATTAAAATAATCAATTAAAACTTTAGCCCATTTGAAAATAATGAAAAATCTTAAGATTCAGCTATCTTAAATATTAAAAATCTAGAGAAAAGGATAGAAATAAGGTTAGGAATACTTACTTTGATATTTGAAATCTCAAATATACTCCTAAGGACTGAAATCCATAAGCCATTACAGAGCTCCAATGTTCCACCACCAAACCACCTGAAAATCTTGTTTGAAATTAGTTTTAAAAACTAGCACGCAAAATGTTCGCGGTGGCTTCACCATGGTGAACCCACAGTGAGTGGTACTTAAATATGCTTTTTCTATCAAGCCATTTGGTGTGGTATTCGCTATAGTGAACTCACAATGAATATCATATAATAAGAAAAGACCCAATTTCAAAAATTTATAACTAATTCCATATACTTTCAAAAATATTAAATTATGACTCTTTAAAAAGCTTAAGATGCCTATTTTCCAATTCAAAAAGAATAATAAAAAACTAAGATCATTTAGTTCTACAAAATTCTTGATTTCTAAGGCTGCTAAAAAATGTCCAGGGTTATGACCTCTAATAATTAATCTTAGTGCTTCTACGCCTTAAAACTCCAAATTCAACTACTCGATACTTTGATTTTCTCACTAATTCTAGCTTAACTGATTCTAAACCTTGGGATTGAAAACCTGAAATGTTACTCGTAGTTATTATTATACATAGCATAGCATCAAAAAAGAAGATATCAAACATTTTATCTCAATCCCCTACAAATAAAATAATTTTACTCTATTTTGTACATATTATTTAATAATATAACTAATTATAATTTAAAATAATTTTTATAAATTATAAATAATATAATTTATTATAAATTAAAATACTTTTTAATTTATTTTTTCACAAGGAAAAATTGGAGATAAATCATTCATTATACATTTTCAGTTACGAAACTTTACCAAAATAAATTAAAAATGCTTTTTAATTTTTTTTGATAAATTTATACCTTTTGGTTAATTGAAAGCATATTTAATATACTTTTTAGTATTGATTTGTGACCTTTTCTTCTATTTAGGAAAAAAAAATATGTTGGTAATCTCGATTGGAGAGTGGTCATTTTACATTTGGAACTTGTTATTCCCATGTGAATTGTGAGAAAAATTTGCTCTTTAGTGTTCAAAAAAGTAATTGGTAATCTTTACTTCAGACTCATCATTTTACGGGAAAAAAATGTCATTTCTAAATCAATTACTATGTAATTTCACACGCTATATATTAGGAAAAAAATTGTTGTTAATCCCAACTCAAGAGTAGTCATTTTATATTTAGAACTTGTTATTCTCAGGTGAATTGTGGGGGGGGGGGAAGTGATCTTTGGTATTTTTGATAATCTCTGCTTAAGACTCATCA